TTAGTTTGTATATAAAAATTAATCGAAGTATCACTCCTCAATTAGGGACTAATCTTGAACACTTTTGCTCAGAAAAAGGGGTAAAAACATATCAAATGTGTAACACACCATTAACTATATATATGACAGTTAGTTTTTCTAAAAATAAATAGAAGTAGGTGTATGTAATCTAAAGGCTATAAGACTTTGTACCATGCAACTTTTGGGAATGTCTCGTGGAATGACGGCCAAAGGCACACGAGATGTACGGTGTTGCCAATTAACATGTGTGCAATAATGTCGGGCCTATCTCCACTTTTATCCATAGTACTGTTCTGTAAGCGATGCTAAGGGGCAGTCTCCTTACTATGGGTTCTCGTGAAATTTTGGTCGATAATGCAAGTGAGTCTCATAATTCATTAATTTGCGACAACCAACCATTCACATGCCACATGAGAACAAAACATTTATGTTTGGTATGAACGCTCTATGATCACCACCATAACTTCTGAAGTGAGAAAAGAAGCTCAAAAGCCTCAAATGACTGCAAAACTCAGCTAGTGGGCTTGGCTACATGCATACATACACATCAAAGCATCAGAAAAGGAATAGAATGAGATCAAACCTCAAAAAAAGCAAGAGAGACGAGAATCAAAAGGAGCGACTCTTCTGGTCTTTTTCCCATTGATTTCTATACACATATATGCGGATTCAACAAAGCAAATGTTAATGTCATAGTTCCCCATTGCAACATTCTCCTCAGCAGCAGTTGTTTAGGTAATGCAAATTCAAACAATATGGATAAGACTCGTTTCAAATTTTTGACTCTCTAAGTCTCCTTTTTAGTTGTGGGTTTGTCGATCTTTGCATTTTGTTAATTTAATGCAATAAATCTGGCTTCAGTTTATCGAGGTATTGGATCATTCTTTTCGTTCAGTCTCCTACTCTGTCCCATCTTACATTTGACATTTTTTGTGTGACAAAAGTTGGTGCAATGTGACCTTTTAAAATAGGTTTTCGTACACCTAATACCACTATATGGGCAATGGGAAATGATGTAGATTGATCTAAAACCACAGTAATGTACAGCGATAAAGATTCTTTCTATGATTATAAGATGGTGCCATACAAATATAAAATTTAATAATTTCTTGACCAATAAAATATTGATGATGAGCTATAACTAGAACTATTGCTCATACCTATTTATAGATCTCTTAGCATGCACTCAAACAGTATAATGTTGGTAGGGGGGATCCATTCCCACTCCCCACATTACTCAGCATACCACACACCTATTATCTATACAAGCCCCTTCGAATTCGATCACGCGTGTACTAATTGGTTTTTCAAATTTTATTTTAGAATTTAAAAATAAAATAGGTAGTTGTGTTCTATGAAAATAAGACCCATTAATTTTTTTAATTCTCTAAAAAAAATTAAAATTAAAAACAATCTGGTATGAGACAATCCTTTAGATGTAGTGTCACACTCACCTAGAAAGTTAATCAGTGATTAATTTATGAAAATAACATATAATGCTCAATTTTTTTTTGGAGGTACAACAGTTTTAATTGACCATATTCTCATCTCACCCATTGAATTTCCATAATCAAATGATAACATTAACTTTAAAATATTGGTGAACTTTTTAAGTTCCATATAATCATTTCCTTCATCATATTTCACCATATAGTGACATGTGCATGTGTAATTAATTCACAAACTTTTTCTGGTGGATCAAACTTTTTTTTATTGAATAATCGATAGTAATTATTAATGAAAAACAAAAGTACAAAGCAAACTATGGTGCCGAATATAGGTAAATATTATATAGTGATCAAACGCAACAAACTGAATTGATTTAGAGAGAATCATACACAATAACACTGATTTAATCAAATATCGTACGAAGCAATTAAAAACTTAGTGAGTAATACAAATGACCAATATGTTGAATAATTATGAATCGCCAACAAGGAATACATGTTTAACCAGTCAACTTATGATCAACCTCTCTCTAAAGCCATCATCTTTCCTTCACACTACAGCATGTTAGGTTGGATAAAGTTCACCACGTACAAAAATGACTACAAACCAGTACACAAGAATTCTTGTCATGAGAGTGAAAAATATAATTTAAAGGATCACATCATTGACTTGTGGAACTCATTTTTTTTCTTTATTTATAAAGTTTTTTTTTTATATATATAGAAATAGGTTTGCTTAATTTTATAGCCTCTGTAGAGGTACAATTGGGTCAAAAAAACAGACTTTGTTCCCGTTCAAGCATAGAAATTATGGCATGTTGGGTGAGACATAGATATTTTGTCTCTCGAGGAAAAAAGAAGAGGAGGAAGAAGAAAAAGGACAGAGAGAGAGAGAATCATCGGTTGCCGACAGGTGACAATCTTTTGTTGGCTTTGCTTCTTTGCTTAGTTGAGAATCTGATATCATCATCAACTCACGCACGTGGGGTGCACATGGTTTCAATTATGCCTCAAAAACGCGTTTAATTAGGGGGGGGGGATCGAAGCTATGATTACCATTCACTAATTACTATCAATGGAGGAGTAACAAATGGACACGTGGCAATGACCCACATCAAGAGGGGCCCAATGTTCTGTTGAGAAAATTCTTCTGCATCATTGCCAAGAGGAAAAAGATTGTGACTTTTAACGGAGACGGGGAGACAGTAATAACTAATATTAACAACATCAAGTGACTTATTGGCTAAGTGTCACAGTTTGGGACAGTAAAAGTAATGTCTAATTGATCCACCACGATTAATCATTGGTTATAGTTGGAAGGATTTCTATGACATGTGTATTTTATGATGTAGTTGAATTCATGTGCAAATATCAGTGAAGTATAGTTTAGTTGGTTGAGCTTTTTCACTTTTACTTATGTGGGTAGAAGTTCGAAACTCCTCTCCCCCAGTCGCTTGCAATAAAAAAGATAGATAATTGACGTGTAAATATGCGATTTATATTATAAGTAATGCTAGGCTTACCACATTTTTCATACCACAATTGTACCACCTCTCTAATAGAGGTGGAGCCCACCATACAATGGGGCCCACCTCTATTAGAGAGGTGGTACAATTGTGGTATGAAAAATGTGGTAAACCTAGCATTTCCTTATATATTATAGTCAACGTAACATCACATCAAAAATTTGTAAGTCACTGTTGTAGAGTGTAATAACCGTGATGTGTTTCAACCTTCCTTGGGCTTATAAATGCCTCTTGAAGACATTTTATCAAACACAATATCACAAAGAAAATTACCAGAATACTACGGGGGTGTGATGAATAGAGTTCATCAAATTAAACATACGTAGGTGTGCCTTAGGTTATGAATATGCCTCTTTGAGACATTTTATTAAACAGCATGCCCTTTTTCATAAAAGAAAGCTCAAGAGTCAACGAAGCTTATGAAATCGAACATGGGCAAGTCTGCCTTCATCCTTTTATTATTATTATTATTTTATAAAGTAGTGAATACCTCTTTGAAACATTTCATCGAACACCATCCCACCTTTCCATAAAAGAGAAAATCAAGAATATTGGGGTCAAGTTGCATATTTACTAAAAAGATTTCCTTTATTAGCAAGAAAACTAGATCAGTGTGAAATAAGTTAAGGAGGGGCTGCTGCTGCAGCATCAATCAGAAAAGAAACATGGTAAAGGAAAAAAAAAGGTCATGTCACCATGGAATTGTATTTTGTTTACTTCCTTGAAAGCATGCACTAAAAGATTGTGGAATCAGTCAAAACATCTGTAGCCAGCCCAAAGCCAAAAGGTATACATACATCTTTGACATGGTGATCAAGATTTATGCATACATGTACTTTCAAGAGCCAAGCATATATGGTTAGATAAATCTAAAAAATGTATTGTCAGTTTTAATACATCAAGTTTCATTTTCAATTGAGAACCAGAGGTGCAAAGCCATAATAGGTCCACATTGCCCAATGAAGGCAGATAAAAACAGACCCTGATGCTGAAATGGTGTCTTTATTCTAAACGATAATAGGTTTGTTAGATTTTACAATCACGGATCATCGGGTTCCTATTACCAATAGTTATATTGTCTCTAAATTAACCACCTTCAAAGTTCAGCAAGTGAAACAAAAGGCTTCAATATTATTAGTAGTGGATCATAGTTTCCGATATAGGACTTTAGATTCTTTAACACACACACACCCCATGCAATTTAATTTCCAATTTCTCATATCCACGCATAATTACAACACAACTCATAATCGCAGATAAATATAATTAATTGTTACCATATAAAAATTAAAGTTCAATTTAATTAATAAAATCTGATTGTATTAGTTGATAAACATGGTGCTTATCCCAAGTTGAAAGAGAGAGAGAGGGTTTTCTTTTGGTGGGCTTAAAGGTCGTTACAGAGAAAGATGGTCAAAAGCTAGTTGGACAAGGAATTAATTCATGCATCAAACATCAATTTATTAAGTAATTAAAGTAGGTGACCAAAAGTTGGTTAAAGCTAGATTCAGTAAGATCAGCACACAAATGGACTGAGAACAGACATATATCTGTTTTCCTCTTCAACATGGAAAATATTACATGAACTAAAAGAAAAAGACCCACCAAGCTAGCTACTTTTGCCCTGCAGCAGGCTTAAACAAAGTCACTACATCAATCTCAACTTTCATCTTCCCTCCCTTTTGTTCAAACACTGAAGATCTAGTACTACTTCATTCCTACTAGAGAGCTACCTAAAATTTATTAATTAATATGGTGTCCTTCAACTTCTCCTTAGGAGAATTTGATTGGATTCCTGGAATAAGTTTTTGTTTTTGTTTTTTTTCAATCCATTGTGTTACAATAATTAATTAATAGTTGATGCTAGTGTCAGTCGTACATGCGTGATGCATTATGAGTTATGCACGAGTGTGAGACCTACTGTTGAGCTCACACTGATCAAGATATGTCACGTACTCATGCTCAACTGACGCTAGCATTCCTCCTCTTAATTATTTGTTTCTCTTCATGTCCAAAGTGGTTCCCACAATGAGCCTAGAGTGGTGGTGTCATCAAGGAAGCCTAAGTTGGTCTGGTTGCTGCCATGAGAACTGGCGATGAAGTTGTGATCAAGTGATTGCTGAGGAGAGCCCTGCTCATTAGATTGTGTCATCTCCATGCAAATTAGTGCTACAAGGTTGGCTTGCTGGCATTGCATGTTGACAAGCTCAGCTTGTGCCTTGGCTAATTGTGCTTGCAGCTCATTCACTTGTTTCTGGAGGTGGCAGATTGCCCCTGCACACCCATAAACTGGATCTCTAATTCTTGCACTGGCCTCATAAACCATGCTGCTCACTGCATCAGCTCTTTGAGATTCTGGAAGATCCTGAAAATTTGAAATGTTTCTTTCATTTAGTTACAAATAAACCTTCAATATTTAATTGATTGCAAACTGAGAAAATAGACAGAAAAAGAAAAAAGAAAAGAAAAAAAGAGGTACTTTTGAGAGTTTTTCTCCCTTGTTCTGTTGCTATCAGCATAATTTAGTCAGAGTAGTTGATTTCCTTGATGAAAAGTAATATCAGGGCTAAGGGCTGAAAGGGAATTTCCTACCATTTTGGTACGTCTCCATTTGTGTCTAGTGTATGCTTCCTAGAATTTTCAAATGTGAATGCAACTAACACAATATTCCATGGAAAATCTGACACTTGATATTTCAGACGGGAGAAAGATCTTAAGTTCTAGCTAAGTAAGCCTTTTCGTGTCTTCTGGTCAAACTTGTCTTGTCAAACAAGAGAACGATAATTTTATTAGACTCTGAATTTAAACTACATATTTGGTAAAATTACCAAATTAAATTTACAGTGTGACAGAAGAACATTACTGTGTATCTAATATTCCAGAACACAAAGTTATAGAGCTACTTTGAAAAGTAGTGCTACATGAAGAAAAGTACCTGCAAGAACTTTATGATATTACTAGCCCCAAAGACACGATGAGCAATAGTGAACTTGGCTGGCTCAGTGGGAGGAAAGTAAGGTGCCAAGACGCATTTGTCCGCGCATCTTCTCCTCAAGATCTTGCATGCAGCACAAGGACTTATAACCACAGGTGGGTTTGGAGTTGGAGTAGGAGGCAGAGGAGAAGGAGGGGAGGATGGTGAAGAAGAAGGAGACTGAGACAGAGGGGTTGAGGAGGTGGTTGTGTAGTTTGTGTTCATTGTCTCATTACTGCACTCCATTACAGCTAAATCTTTAAGCTTTGAGCTTTAAACTATGCTTTTGTGTAGAGAGAGAACGGAGAAGAAGAGAGAGAGAGAGGTGGGGTGGGGTTTGTTTGCAGCACAAAGGCAGAGTATAAATAGGAGAGGGAAGCCTCGGGAGGAGGTGTCATTGTGACGTCATCTGTTGAATATTTTAATAGGCTGCTGATTCACATCGAGACAGATTTATATTTAATTTCTCTTAAGCCGTTAGGTTTAATGAAAGAATTATATATAATTTCACTTTTGATTTTTTTGCAGGAAAAACTTATCTTCAAGTTTGAAAATTCATCATCCCCTCTGAAAAAAAACCCAGTTTGCAGACACAAGTTTTAAAGTCTAAAATCAAAATAGCCGTATACAAACAATTCGGTAGTCTCCAAAGTCCTTCTCAATTCATCTTTTTAACCACCAAGGCACTTCAAATAGATCTCCTACTTTTTTGCATTTACTCTGTAATTTCATTTTGTGGTAGCAAGCAAGCACCAGAAGCAATCTTTTTTGCTGGAATTGTTAAAGTAAAGAGAATCAAATTCACTTGCTCTTTAATCATATATCAAATTGGGTGGTTGGGTTTAGTCAAATGGTTATAGTATAAATTAAGAATTAACTCATGATGAAAAACCTTGTCAACAAAGATAGGAAAAATGCAGGACAATTTCTATTTCTAACCCTTGTCTAGGACAAGGGGTGTCCTACTGACGGCCGTTGTTTTCACATGCGACTTTCCTTCCCAACAAGTTGTGTTTCTAGAAATTTTTATTTCTTAGATTTTTAATTTTTCTCTTTTTATCCGCAGTAAATAAGATATGAGCTTTGAATTCAGACATCGTAAACTCAAATTCTTATGAACACAATAACATTCAAAGTGATTTGAAATGCGTAGTTTGTGGATGATTGTACATATCGAAGTCTGCTTTAAGATCTTCATTCTGACGAAGAATTTTCTCATCAGCCAAAATAGTCTCAAACACATTTTTGAAATTTTGTTTTATCTCTGTAAATTCTAAGCTATAACATTGCCTAACTTTCAACAGGGGAAATTTGGCGCCTCACCCTCTCTCTCCCTCCTTCCCATTTTCTCGGACTTGAGCCATACATAGAGCTGTTATTTCAAACAAAACAAAAAAATACACAACAAAGTCATATTTATTTAGTCAAAGGTTTGGATGAGAACGGTAATGATATATAGTTTTCGATTTGACGTACCATCCGTCACTGACATTAACTTTTAAACCAAAATGTATTCCTCCTCTTCTGAAGGGCCCCAAAGCTACATTACAAAACCCTACACCTTTTCCTTTTTGGCTTCTTTTTTTGTTTTTGTTTTTTTTACCCCATGTCATCTCTCAAAATGGAATTACAAAATGTGGTTAACCAAAACCTAAATCCAGATTTGGTCCACACTTGAAACTAATTATTGTGTAGGCTTTTGCCGGGGTGACATGTGGCAGAGGTTTGTGGTGAATGAGTTAAAAAGTAGGGTTTATTTGGTGAGTGATTGGGCAGCTGAATCCACTGAGACAGTGCTAGCTTTCTACCTCCTCTAACCACCGCCTAATGACCTACTTATTTTCATTGAGAACGACCCAAGTATCCCGATGTAGTTAACTAGCTCATTTAAGTGCTCTTAAAACCCATAAATCTGAAAAAGCATTGTTAAGTGTTCTTTCCGGTAATGTCATAACTACCACTCTTTAAACTTAAACACATCTTTTACACGAATCAGATTCATTCACGTAAATGGTCAATAAACTTAATCAGTATAAGTCACAATATTACCAGTTCACAGTTCATCACAATAACTCACTCTCTTTTTTTCCTTCAATTACTCTTGAGTGAATATACATATGCATTTTTTGAGATGCACATATTCCATTTCATTATTTTGTCATCTTCACATAATGATAAATTTCAGGCTTGGTCACTATTCATGTGGTACGAAAGGAAATATAAGCGTGTTTTTGTGTATAAAGTTAAGATAAAGGTGGGGTATGGTTGGTAGGGAGCCGGTCAGCTCGTTGCGCACATGAGGTGAGAAAACTCTGGTAATCTAAAGTCTTAAGCTGCCATTGACGATTGCGACTTCTCCATATCCAAGAGAAAAAATATATCTTAAATTAATATATTTCTGTTCTTAACCCAGAAAAAAAAAATTATATTCTCGATTATTATTTAATATTTAAGTGACTAAGTTTGCCACTTGTTATACTAAACTCAGTTTTGCCACTTGTTCTACTTTGCAGTGGAAGCAGTTGGACTTGTGTTTCTTCACCCATCTCCACCTCCACCCCACTAACCTTTCAAAAAAATTTTTTTCTTCTTTGGCTCTTAAAGAGTCTTATGCGCGTGGACCTTAATAAAAGAAGGCATATGCCAGATTCTACTTTTATAGTTTGCTCATGCACCATCAGAACTCACAAAGTCCAACTGGAAACAATCAGTTCATATTGATAGCAAGTTAGCCATGTAAACGGAAGTGGTTTCGATTTCACCCCACGCATATAAAAAGAAAAAGCAACAAAACAAAATGGACTCTTTTTATGCGCGAAATAAATGCCTTTATAACGTGAGTTTGATATACATTGTTGGTCTATTCTTTGACAACTTAAAGCGTTAAAATTTTGGAGTTAGTGGGTGATCTAATCGGTCTCAGAGCTCACTTCACACGAGATCTTAAGTTCGATTATCCTATTTTTACAGAGTATTACTTAAACTTTTGAAATTAATGGTTATCTAAACAACAAAGGTTGCTTTAATATCCTGGCTAGAACAAAAGCAAAATAACTCATCTAATATGATGTCATGTAAATGTAAGAAGCAATATGAACGCTCAATGTTCTTGTTTTGGGGTGGCTCAATCATAGAGTGAACAGTATTTAATTCCCCCCGCCATCCATTAACTCTCTCAATGTTCATCATAAAGACTGATTTTGACTTCATTTTGGTGACGTGGTAACAAAATACGCACCTCACCAACAAACAGTCGGTACCTTTTTTTAATGTTTCCACTTTCCGTACTATTAATTAGCTGGTTTCTAGAGAGTTTGCAATGCTGAATTCGATGACTTCCTCTTTCAGCTTCCCATGAGCAATCCCTAAACGAAAGTATGATGAAGAGTACGAGAAAACAGCCTCAAATCCGGCTAAAGTGTATGGATTCTAAGTACACTTTGTGAGAGGAAGGTTATATATGTAATCGGTTCATACTAAAACGAGTCAATTCTTATATGCAGTTGCATGGGTTGGCGATTAAATAGGCAATAGTGCCAATGGGTGTGTTGCCCTCTTGTGTGAAGAAAAACTTGCTTGCATCTATCATTTCATGAAACGGACGTCTCACAGACATACGTCACTCATTGAATTATTAGTTCAATATAAACTATCAATGCCGATTTTCAAGAAAACGAGTCAAAAATCAATTGCCCGTCTCATCGAATTATTTTTTTTGAAATGTCCTACTTTGGGTTAGACACCCGGCGTATTATTATTTCCAAGAAAATGGAGTGTCCTCTTCGAGTGGAATAGTCATGGTCGCAAGAAGAAGCTCACATGTGCTATACGGCATTGGTACTTTTTGAGTTTGAGCATCCAATCGCCCTCCTTTTCCATGCTCTCTTTATACACGTTTAATAATTAACTTTAATTTGGTTGCAGACTTCATTAATAAATTCAACTTTCAACATGATGGACACTTGGTTTTTGGGGTCTTGACATCGCCCGAAGACCAAAAATTTATTTCATGATCGATCGACATTCGATCGTGTAGGGTTGCATGGTTATGTTTGCCGTGCACTTGAAGATAGGGCACCCATTATATGCTATTTGCATTTATGTATGCCATGTATATCAAAGACCAAGACCAAAACCAAAACATTCTCGAGACTTGACCAAAATTTTCCAATTTTTCAGTCGAGACACAAACCATAGTTGTAAACCACATAAATGTGAACTACTGGAAGACCGATTTATTTTGAATGCTGAACCAAAAACCAAAACCCCATCATTCTTTACACATTATATACTTTAATCCACTGCTAGAAATATCAAAATTAGTCGGTGAAACCACCAGGAGAGGATCCAGATCCAAATCCACATGAGGGTGGTTCCCTTCTTTCCTCATGATTCGGTTAGTGTAGCGTTATCGTTAAGGAGATGTTCTTGATCAAACAACCTAAGATGTTACATTAACCGACTCTTCAATGTACATTTGAATATGTGATCTAAATTGATAGTATGATAATAGACATGTAATGGAAGAGAACATTACGCTTTTAATAAGAAAAAATGTTATTCATATGGGTCCCAATTTGTTGGTATTCTAGAGCTTTCCAGATCTTAGGCTTCTATTTCCATATTCCATGGAAGAATTTGGCTGTTTACAGAGATTAAGGTCCACACGGTTTTAGCATAAGGTCTTTTGTTACAACCGGTTCCCACTCCGACCGCTAAGAGCGATTGACCTCCTATAGCTCCTTAATTTCTTTCTCTCTCTCTTTCAATGACTTCAAGCAGCCAAATTAGCGGACATCACACGGTAATTTGAGTGCACGACTAGAATATTAAGCCCAAACATTCAAACCAAAACCAAAAAACAATCATTTTATTGCTGAAATGCTAGACTACGTGTTATCTATCTGTAAGCCACGAGAAAATCTTAGGTGAAACTAGTTGTGTGCAAGTATGTGTTTATCTATGTTGTTAAAGGGATAGTCATGAGAGAGATAGATCCTGATTATTTACAACCGGTGATAGAGAACAACCATGTGTCTATCTATGTCATTACATTACTAGTCGATGACGAGAGAGATCGGCACATGATTAAACACACAATCGGAGGAGACATGGAAGTTTTTCTGGTAGATCATGGGAAGCAAAGACTTGATAACCGGACGAGCACCATAGTCCTGCAAATAAAATGGAAGGCACGCACAAAGTCGATGATGTTGGTATTTCTTATCACATGCAGGACTAAAGGAGGCCTTGAATACGACTATTCATCCTGAATTGAAAATGAGGAGAGATCAAGGCTTTCTTGGCCAAATTCCAAGCGATCAATTAACACACGAAATTTACATAAAAAGACAATAACATTTGGACCTAACCTTATCACAACATGACGCTAGTAGATCATATCACAACACAAAACATAAATTAAAGGATGGCTCTAAACTTATCATATCATGTCACTGAAGAACGATAATTCGAACTTTGAACATCTTTTAATAAAGTAGAGATAAATATCACAAGACCAATTGTTAGTTTAAACACCCCACTTTAAAAAGCTTTCACAAACTTCAAATCAATACAAGTAATTTTGTTTTTTCCTTTTATATAAAAAAAAAAAAGAAAGAAAGTAATTTATGTGTACTAATTAGCTCTTAATCTAGTTGTATTTTTCCTTCCATTATTGAAAGAAAAAATTCATTCCCGTTTTTTTCTTGAGGTATTTAGTTATATAGTCATTCTTAGCACTAGTGATATAGATAAACCTTACATAATTTAATTTCTATAAACAAACCCCAAAAAAATCCAAATAAAGGACAGATGGCCATTTTGAATTTAATTTTGATTATTAAATTACTTTGATGCCATGTTGAGTATTTTGGGTTTTTTTTTATAGGGATGACAAAAATCCTCGTCCTGTCGAGTCCCTGGCCCTAACGGGGGGTGATTTCAAGGGAAAATGAGATAGGTATGGGGATCCCCGATTTTTCAAAATACTCGATCAGAAACGGGCCGGGGATAGTATTGTTATCTTCGTCCCTAAACCCGGCCCGTGATATATTTATTTTTAGTTACTAAACATATAATATAATACAACATATAAAAAGTTACCCAAAACAATTACGTGTTGAAATTGACATAAACTTCCATTTGTCTATGTTGTACTGTACCCACACTTTCCTTGACATGTTAAGCTAGTTTCTTTTTTTTGGTCGAATCTAGTTAAGCTAGTTTAGGCATATATTGGTTTATCCATTTCCGAGGAAGATTTAGGCCCAGCGAAAAACTTGAGCTAAATTTAAAGCTTGTCCAGAAAACACTTATATAGAAAGTACTTAGAAGCTTTACTGAAGAAACACTTACAGCATGCCAGAGGTGCATTTGATTAGGTTTTTAAGTACTAAATATATAATATAATATAATATAACAATTAAAAAAGTTACCCTAAACTGTGGACTTATTTTTTATTATTATATGGTTTGATTAATTTTGTTATATGATTTTATTAATTATGTTAAATTAACTTGTATGTTATATAATATGGATATATTTTTTTATTTAAAAAATTCGGGGATTCAATCAGGTTTGAGATACCATTCCTTGACAAGGATGGAGACGGAAATTCCTCGAAATTTCATACCAGGGATTGGAACGGGGACGGGGGCGAGGGTGGGGATGGGAAGCGAGGATGGGGATGGTATTGTCATACTTGGCCTCTAACCGACCCGTTGCCATCCTTAGTTTTTTAATGAGATTTTGGGGTTGAATTTTTTTTAAGAAATTGATAGCAATTTTGTAATTTATAAGAAGTTCGAAGCCTCTTTGTTATTTTGTAAATGGACTTTGTGTGTTTTTCTAAAATCTATTTCATATAGAGTTTTTTATAATTTGCACCCTATATTGGAGAAAATAGTGAAACTCTCTTTTTTCTTTTGGGTTTCCCCACCATCCACAGCTTCCTTTTACTTTTTTGTTGGAACAGAAACATGCAATAAGAAACCAAGAGGCTAAAGCGGAAAACAAAAGTGGAGGCCCAACAAACAAGGGTTGCGTAACTTCATTAGTGTATTTTTTTAGGTGCAAGATTAAATTTAAAGAATTATTCCATCGAAAACAAAAAGGTTAAAAACGAAATATTATGGTGCATCAAGAAAGGTGAAATCAAGTAGGTAGTAATTTTGAGAACAAGAGGGCTCTTTGCCAAAAGAAAATGAAAGATAACGATTTTGGGGAATAACTATGATACAATAAGTGGCTAGTAGGCGTGCAATTGATTTTTGACCGTAAATGCATGCAAGCCCTATTGTGAGACCCGCAGCCATCAACAGTCAAAATTCTTGCACGCCCATACACGACATAGGTTAGCAATACTCAGTGCACCGGGAATAACTAAATGTCATGCCTGGTCTCATAGAAAGTCTTTGAAGAAAGTCCTAATAAACAATATCAAAGTTGAGGTAGGCTTGGCTTGACCGCTATCTACAAATGGATACAAATACAAAGCATTTAAAACTAACTAATAATTAGAGAATGAAAATATATTAAGTGTCTAAACCGTTAATTATACCAATCAACTCAGCAATCATAACCCCCAAGAAAAGGAGGGTCATGAATCACACATAAAGAGAAAACGAGTGGAGAATTCAATGTATCTCTAAGTGCAAACATAACGAACATTCAATGCAAGTAGACCAGCTAGACCAGCTAAATTCATGAATCACACCATTCCTGGACCAGCTAAATTCAATCTAAATTGACAATGCAGAGGGAATGGTCAAGCAGGCCATGTAGTTGAGGTCACTTGGGGAAAAAGCAAATGTCATGCTCGAAGTATCTAGGCCGAAAACGAAATCACTTGATCAACCACAATCATTCCATCTGGACCAATTCCAGTTAAAGTTTATCTGTTTAGATGTCCTTTCCACAGTATAAACAAATATATCCACCGTCTAATTCATCAACTACACTCATGAGTCATGACCCTGGCTCAAGTAGCATTTGGGTGGATAGAAAGCGAAAAGGAAATTCATTTGCTACACCTAAATCAAATTTTACTAGCTCAAAAGAACTCTGAAATGACCAAGATCAGGTCACACGCTACACACATGTGATCCAAAGAAAATGTTAACGCCATGCAAAGTAATATGTAGAACAAAGGTGATTTCATTGTTGCTATGGGGCCAGGGTAATGGAAAATATATCTTCTTCTAGGGTTGAGCCAAGGCGAAACCATCAGCATGATATGTTCAAAAATTGAATTCCTGAAGGGGGAGAGATTGATCCCGTAGCTATACCAAAAATTGTTAACTACCATTTCTAGAAATAATACAAGCTATACAAACAAATAAAGTTCCAACGGTTGCCATATTATATGCTAAGCAGGACCTAGATTTGGTACATCAGAAGATTCACTTTCTCATTAATGTAGAAGTTTTCTGATGATTAAACTGTGCTATAAAGAACTTTGGAAAAGTACATGTCTATGCAAGAGAACATACAGCACAGATTGCCATAATTGTACCACCATCGAACTAATCTATATTACACACACCAATGCCTAAATATAGCTATCCAAAATTTGAAATTATAGCTTCAACAAAAAGGAGAGGAGAGAAAAATTGGATTGGCAAAATTTTGGTAAAAGCTAGTAACTTAACAGAAACCTGTCCCAAAAACATTAGATGATACATATATTAGAAACAAAACAAATAACGCAGAGGAACCCCAACGGCTTACCAGAAAGTCCAGGTCAGCTCACAGAGAAGAGGAGACTGACTGTAACTTTTTATCACTCCCAGCTTTGCTCTCATCATCAAAGAAGTCCTGAAGTGCAATCATCTTAACAGTGCTGGACTTTAGACTCCTTATTGCTTCGGCAGTTGCTAAAGCTCCGGCAATTGTTGTTATTACTGGAATTTTGTAAGCAAGGCCCAACCTCCTTAGTTGCCGTCCATCAATCTGATCAAGTGCATCGCCTGAACTTGTGATCACCATTAACTGGATTTGCCCATTAGCAACCATATCAGCAGCATGAGGCCGCCCTTCATGCAGCTTCAGCACTCGTTCCACTGGAATTTTTGCTAACTCAAGAATATGAGCTGTCCCAGAAGTTGAAACAATCTTAAATCCAAGCCCTAAAAAGGCTGTCGCAATCTTTTCAAGATGAGGTTTGGTCAAATCATTTAAGCTGAGGAAGACAGTGCCAGAAAGTGGTAGCTTCTGCCCCGCAGCAATCTGAGCCTTGGCAAATGCAATGGGAAACTCATAATCAATACCCATCACCTCACCAGTGCTACGCATCTCAGGCCCCAGCAACACATCACAGCCTTGGAATTTCTCAAATGGGAGAACAGCTTCTTTTACTGACACATGTGCAGGAATTATCTCTTTTGTGAAACTTATATCATGAAGAGACTTCCCAGACATGACAAGGGAAGCATATTTAGCCAATGGATGTCCAATCGCCTTGGACACAAATGGGACGGTACGGGAAGCACGAGGGTTTGCTTCAAGTAAGAAAACATCTCCAGACAATGTAATTGCATACTGACAGTTCATCAGCCCACACACATTCAGCCTCCTAGCCAATTTTATAGTCCATGACCTAATTGTCTCCAAGCAAGAAGCAGGGATGGTTTTTGTTGGAATCGAGCAAGCAGAGTCACCAGAATGGACCCCAGCCTGCTCAATGTGCTCCATTATTCCACCAATGACAACGTTACCCTGAGAGTCGGCAAGTGCATCAACATCAATCTCAATTGCATCGGATAGATACTTGTCAATCAATACAGGGCGTTCCGGGTCCACCTCAACAGCATTTTCGAGGTAGGTCGCAAGTTTGTCATCACTATATACAATTTCCATGGCTCGGCCACCCAATACGTAGGAAGGCCGGACAACAACTGGGTACCCAATGTCCTTTGCAATGGCAATAGCATCAGCTTCGCTCTTGGCAATTCCTCCTTTTGGTTGTTCAATCTTTAACTCATTAAGGATTGTATTGAACTTCTCCCTGTCCTCAGCAGCATCTATGTTAGCAGGTGAAGTACCCCAAATGCGTACATATCCAGATGCACTTGCACATTTAGGCTTGTTCTCATCTAGATACTGCTGGATAGGAAGAGACAACTTCAATGGTGTTTGACCTCCAAACTGCACAATGATGCCATCAGGTTTTTCCAAATCAATTATGTTCAGCACATCTTCAACAGTCAGTGGCTCAAAATATAGACGGTCACTCGTGTCATAATCTGTGGATACTGTTTCAGGATTTGAATTCATCATAATGGTCTCATATCCTGCTTTCTGTAAAAGAGAAGGAGAGAAGCAGGCATCTCAATGAAGGATTTGAACAATTTCAAATATCAATCCATAGACTCCACCAATTCATCAAATTATATAAATAGTAGGCAAACTTTTAGATTGGTACCTACGATGGCACAGAAAAAATATAAATAATGACAGGAAATATATAAATACGTTTGCATGAAAGTGAATTAATCACACAGGCGGGATCCTGTAATCCAGAAGTTCATTGTTATAACATAAGCGCCAAATTCAGTATATCCCATAGAACTATTTTAGATATGCAAGTAACTAAAATTTCTCCTTTTCTACTACAAGCTATTATGAATGCATCCAGATCTCTTATCAATTGTACCCAAATTGTAGTTTATGACACTCGCCGCCTCCAAGTGTAAATCCTAGAGGCATCTCGACTAAAGTTATCTAATTTTAGTTCTCATCAGGAGAAAAAGGTGCAATGATCGCCCAATTTGTAACTGCCTAAGTTCTGTGATCCCACTGCCACATGTGAAAAATAATGCATGATTGATGATTAGGATATGTCATGATTCAGAAATAAAGAAATCTAAAACCAATTCCATTCAGCTAATGCACCCTAGTTATTTTAAGTTAATATAAGATATCTACGTACCTAGGAACTTGCATTCATGAATGAAAAAGGTGTTGTAAGAGAGGGAGTTGAAAAAGGAAGGGCAGGCAAGTGGGCAGTAAACATATCAGAGACAAACCTGAAGGGCAAAGGACGTATGGCAACAACAGTAGTCAAACTCTATCCCCTGACCGATTCGATTTGGTCCTCCACCTAAAATCAAAACCTTCTTCCTCTGGGTGGGAGCTGCTTCACACTCAAAGTCATAGGAAGAGTACATATAAGGAGTATTGGCCTCAAACTCCGCAGCACACGTATCCACCCGCTTATATGCCGGAGCAACACCTAAAGATAGCCTCTTCAACCGGACGTCCTTTTCAGTGGCTTTAGTGGCAAAAGCTATCTGTTTGTCACTGAAACCTCTTTTTTCACTTCATATAACTCATCCTTTGTTAGATCAGACAAGTTTCTAGCCAGGAGAAATTGCTCCACATCTACCAGCTCCTTAAGCTGTGTGAGGAACCATTTGTCAATGTAACTCAACTCATGAATATCATCTACCTTCATCCCCTTCTTCATTGCAGCATATATGGCATGGATGCGGTCTGGGTTAGGAACTCGGAGGCTATACTTCAACTGTTCCCAATCCCAGTCAAGTTCCTTAATTTTCGCACAGCCCCATCCAGAGAACCCACATTCCAAAGATCGAACTGCTTTCTGAAAGGACTCTTGAAATGTGCGACCCAGTGCCATTGACTCACCAACAGATTTCATTTGGGTAGTCAATATGGGCTGTGAACCAGGAAATTTTTCAAATGCAAACCGGGGAATCTGCACAATTCAATAAAACAAAAACAAGAAAATTGAGATGACATACAAAACGGATCTAAAAATGCATGGATTAACAGAAATGTGTTGCTGTAAATAAGATAAATGACGACAATGATTGATGACATTCCTACTGGCATAAGTAATAGTGATTAGCATATTATCCAGGAAGCTAATGGACAATGCCATCTAAAATTTGACAAAAAAACTCAACTCCTGTGTAAGGTCTAACCATTACATCCAAGCTAGGACTAAAAATGTACAATAAAATCTAGCAATACCAAAGACAGACATACGAAAAAGAAAATTTGAATATCCATAAATGAAGCAATCAAAAACTAATTAATCCAGGAATACAAAGCTCGATGTGTTTAATCATAGTGCGCTACAAAAAGGAAATGAAGAAGGTAATGAATAAGCACTTACCTTGGTTACCACATAATCTATGGAAGGCTCAAAACTAGCCGGTGTCTTCTTTGTAATGTCATTAGGTATCTGATCCAAGGAATACCCAACTGACAACTTGGCAGCCATTTTCGCAATTGGAAAGCCAGTAGCTTTGGAAGCAAGAGCTGAGGACCGCGAGACCCTTGGGTTCATCTCAATCACCATAACCTCACCATCTACAGGATTAACCGCAAACTGCACATTAGAACCACCACATTCCACTCCAATCTCCCTTATGATAGCAATGGAATAATCCCTCAGCCGCTGATACTCCTTATCAGTCAAAGTCTGAGCAGGAGCCACAGTGATTGAGTCCCCAGTATGAACCCCCATTGGGTCAATATTCTCAATGGAACATATAATCACCACATTATCAGCCAAGTCTCTCATCACCTCAAGCTCATACTCCTTCCAACCCAACAACGATTTCTCCACCAAAACTTGAGACGTCACACTTGCCGCTATCCCGGCCTTGCAAATGTCCTCAAACTCATCTTTGTTATAAGCAATGCCCCCTCCAGTCCCGCCCAAAGTAAACGCAGGCCGAATAATCAACGGAAACTCTCCGATTTCATGAGCAATTTTGATACATTCATCAAGCGTCGTGGCAATCCCAGACGGCGGTGTCTTGACTCCGATGTTCTTCATGGCCTGCTTGAACAAGTCTCTGTCCTCTGCTTTTTTTATTGCCTCCAGCTTCGCTCCAATCAATTCGACGCCGTATTTGGCCAGAGCGCCGCTCTCGGCCAACGCCACGGCAAGGTTCAACGCTGTCTGGCCACCCATGGTGGGCAACAGAGCGTCGGGCCGCTCCTTCTCGAGGATTTGCTCGACCAGCTCGGGCGTCATCGGCGTAATGTAAGTCCTGTCAGCCAAGTCCGGGTCGGTCATGATGGTGGCCGGGTTCGAGTTGATCAAAACGACCTCGTATCCGTCCTCCTTGAGAGCCTTGCAGGCCTGAGTGCCCGAGTAATCGAACTCGCAGGCTTGCCCTATCACAATCGGCCCAGCTCCGAGTATCAGGATCTTCTTTATGTCCGTTCTCTTCCCCACTTTCGGCGGCTCTCCGTTCGCCGCAGCTCCGGCGTGTGAAGACTCGCTCCGGACCGAGTTGACTCGGCGGCTCTGGTGCTTGGTGAAAGTGGCGAGCTTTGAGGGCCATGATCGGAGGTGGAGAGAGGGCGCGGCGGTTCTGGCTCCGAGCTTCTTAGAGTAGAGGAAGAAGCTAAAGTGGTTTGGTTTCGACAAATACGGCTTGGAGTTGGCGAAAATTGAGAGCTTGGGAAAGAGAGCTGCTTCACTGTGACTGAGGCAATGGTCCATTTTCTCCCTGTAATATAAACTATCACAAGAGAGACTCAGAGCTCAGAGCTCAGAGAGAGAAAGAGAGTTTGTGGGTTGGGAAATTAGGGTTTTAGGAGGGAGGGTGAGGAAATGGAGGTGGATTTTGAATGTAGGCCAGTTTTGGTTTTGCTGAAGAAGCAGTGTTCCTGAGTGGAGTATTTGTTTGTCTTTTGGTGAGGAAGCCAACAAAACAGCGAGACAGAGGGCGACGCCGTACCGGGCATCTGACATTAGGGTTTTTTGTGCAGTCAACTCAAATGAATAAAATTTCTTTTTTGGATTTGGGCTTTTTATAGGCCTGCTTTTGATTGGCTCTGTCTTGGTGGGTCTTAAGTCCGGCCTGTCCATAATCAGACACAAAACACCCAACTCTTCAAGTTCTTCTTACCATAAAAATAAAAAAGTAGTCGATTCTAAACAAAAAGTTTAAGTTTTTTCCTTAACTAAAATAAGGGGGGGAGGAGGAGAGAGATTGGACTAGGGGTGCAAGTTATGGCTAATTCCCATCCGAAAATTTCCAATTTTGGCAAGTCCAAGTAAATTTCGAAATCTGAAAATTCCCAAAATTGTTGGATTGAAATTGAAATTTAACTTGAGATTTTGAAAATTTCCGAATTCCATAATATATATTTCAAGCTTAGAAGACATAATATTGGGATAAAATATTGGATTGGAATTGGAATCCCCTTATTCTGATTCTATCTATCCGAAAATGAGTCCTACACTCGATTCCAAACAAAATATTGGGATAAAATTGGGAAAAGGGAAGTCCATATTTCATGTTGCATTGCATGCCGCAAGAGAAACAGATAACAAAATCAATCTGGGCCCTTGTACTACATGCAGAAAGTGACAAATATGAAACGGCAAAAGCATTTCTGCTGGGAATATGTCAACTATAACACATGGTAGACATGTCTTGAATTAACTACACTAAAAGAGTCTATATAATATAGTGCCTTGGTCATCCTTTTTTTTTTTTCTTTTGGGGTCTCACATCCACGATGAACTAAAACATGGATTTCAGATCATTATGCATTGCCGGTGGAAATAGTTTCACGATACTCCAATAAGTAAAAGTTTCACTACTTAATAACAGTGAAAAAAACCCTACGCAAGACGTAACACCAAAAAGTTGCCAACTATTTGCAACGTACAATACGAATGGAGAGAAAATTGCTCAACATAATGTATCAGTTCACTAATTAAACACTTCCATACTCAAGAACACATGTCCAAAGAAGAAACACTAGAAAAACAGTTTTCTCTTCCTAGTGTCGTTTAACTTCAGCTTTCTTCTTCTGCCAGAGTCGGTCCAGACCACTGTCGGCATCTCCCTGAAGAAAGAGAGCAATAGATCAGAAGTAGAATTAGTGAACTGACAAATTGCAAGTGCCTGAATATGCTGGCATTACATGTATTATGTATAGTACAATTAGACAACTGCATAAAACTGGCATATCATGAACTAGTACTGAAATGAGGGTAAGAAGGAGGACCAGAGCACGGACGTAACCACAGAGAGCAAAAGTGGAGAACTGGCCTGTGTAGATGCCATTCTCATCCAGATGCCCAACGTTGATCTGAACGGAAGCGTGGTCCTTTGAAGTTATCAACCTGTTGGTGGCCGAGCTGTGTCCACAGATCACACAAGTTTAACAGAATACCCTCACATCAAAACCACACAAACAATCGATGACACAAAATTTTGATTAGATTAGATTGACACCATTTCCTGGGAATGTAAAGCTCAGTGATAACTCCCTCTTCGTTCTGCATCTTGGTCAATGAATCAACTACAACAGAAACAAATCAGATTTTTCTGTTAACAGTTTAGAAGAGGAAGCTTAAGAATTAAGAAAGCTAAGAAAGAAGAAGAAAATTCAAGAGAAAATGATATGCTCTGTGTATTGATTTCACGGAATGATTATAATCGTAGTGTCATCAGTGTTATATATCTCAATAACCAAGACTTTAACAATCTAACTAATTACAGCTAATACTAACTAACAACATGTGAGCACACACGTTGACAGCTTAACTGAATATAAGCTAACTAATATTGTTATCATTCCCCCTCAAACCCAACTCTGGATCCTGCTCTGGATTTCCAAGTGGCATACTGATACAGTGACTTAAGAAAATAGGACCATGAAGTCCTTTAGTAAACACATCTGCAATTTGCTCTTGAGTAGGAACATACTGAACAGTAAGATCATTCCTTTGAACTCTTTAACGCACAAAGTGAAAATCTGTATCGAAATGTTTGATTCTTGAATGATATACTGGATTACTACTAAGTGCCAAAGCAAACAGATTGTCACAAAAAGATTGTAGGAGGTTGAGGCAAGCACACTTTCAAGTCTAGCAAAACCTGTCGAATCCAAGCCAAATCTGCAGCTGTATTAGCCAATGCCCTATACTCAGCCTTTGTCGAACTTCTAAATACTGACCCTTGCTTCTTCGACTGCCATGAGATAGGATTATGTCCAAGCAATACCACAAAATCTGTAGTTGACCTCCTAGTATTTAAGTCCCCCGCCTAATCAGCATCACTATAAGCTTGTAACGGCCATGGACCATGAGTAAAGTGAATCCATAATTCATAGTACCTTGAACGTATCTCAAAATTCTTTTGACCCGGTTGAAATGTATCTCTATGGGAGCAGTCATATACTGATACACAGTATTGACAACATAGGATAAGTCAGGTCTTGTGAATGTCAAGTACTGTAAAGCACCAACAATACTTCTATAAAATGTAGGATCATGCAATGGTTCTCCTTCAGACTTTAAGACTTGATTATGTGGCTTGCAAGGAGTGGGACAAGCCCTACAATTACTCAGACCAGCCTTGTGCAATAGATCTTTAGCATACTTGTGTTGATGTACAAAAATGTCACCTGTAGAATTGTAAGACATTTGAAGGCCAAGGAAGTAGGTAAGTCAACCCACTTCCTTCATCTCAAACACAGCTCCTAAATCATCAATCACTGTCTGCACTAACTGTGCATTGGAACCTGTCAAGATTATATCATCAACATACAATAATAAAATGAATGCTTGAGAAATAAGCTGGGATCAGAGTGAGGAACCCTATAGCTAGTAAATATTCTGTAATTTGGCATTCCATGCCCTTGGAGCTTGCTTAAGTCCATACAGAGACCTATTCAACTTATACACAAACTCAAGATGCTTGGAGTCTTCAAAACCTTGCAGTTGTCTTGTAAAAACTTCTTCTTCAAGCTCCCCATGTAAGAACGCGTTCTTAACATTCCATTGCCTCAAAGACCACTTGTGCATAGCTGTGAGACTGAGAATTAACCTCACTGTGGTATGCCTTTGTGGGGGCTTTTTCTTTCCAGCAGCTACAGATGGGTCTGGGCTACTGTAGATAGCAAATGGGTGAAAATTCTCCCTATGTTTGAGTTCAAGAATCATACCCCTAGAGTGCTTCGAAAGGTTCGTGGAGCCTTAGGGAACACTTGGTTACCTTCACCAACAAAACCACAGTCGCTTACAAAAAAAGACTTAGCTTGGCTTGAGAAGCTTGTGACATGGAAGCTAACCATTCATGAGTTTAGCATTAAAAAAAGATAGGGCTGTGATTTCCTATGAGAAACAGGGGTTCAAAGTAAGGGGGGACAGAATTTCAAGAGAATTCATTGAAGGGTGAGAGGAAGAGATGAGGGAGGAGAAGTGGGTGGTTTGAGCAATTTTCTAGAAGCTTGACAAAAGCTTCGTCAGGCTCTGGAATGGCTTGCCATAAGAGAAAATGGGAAGAGATGGAGGAATAGGGCTCTAAAGGGTTCCAGGGATGACAGGTGATGTTTGCTCTCTCTAGATGTGGTTGAGATGATGGGTAGGAGATGCCCCCTTTTATAAGCTGGAAGCTCCTTCTTCTCAAGAAACCCTAGTTGGTTCTCTCCAATTTTGCCAAGTCTTCTCCCCTATTTCTCGCCTCTTCCTTCGATTCAACCTCATTTTGTGAAATCCTCATTAGTCCAAACACACAAAGACAATATTTTTCGGAGCTCTAGAGGCTTCCCGCAGTAGTTCCAGTGGCCATCTTCTATCTTTAGCTACCACATCTCCTTCTTTCCTCCCTTATTTCATGGCAAGAGTTGGTAGGAGAAAGAAATGGGTAATGGCGTTAGTCTGAAATGTGCTTTTCTCCTGCTCACACTAATATCCTTTGGTTTTTCGGGTGGTCTATCTTGGGTTTGTTTCTTGGCCATGTGTTGGAGACTCCCAGCAATCCGCATATGTAAGTAACCCTTGGCTTTTGTCGTGGTTTTGTCTCCAGCCATGTGCTGGAGACTTACAGATATTTTCTAGGTCACTTGGGCCTTTCTCTAAGGTGATGGGTTAGTCTATTAAAGGAATGAGCCAACTTTCTAAAGTAATAGACTATTTTTACTAAGGTGATGGCCCAATTTTCTAAGATAATGGGCTACTTTTTTCTCAGTTTTATGCTCACCCACATATTTGGGCTCAAGAAATGGGCTCGAGTTTTGGGGGACCTAAGCAGCCCCAAATTTCCACTTCTTGGCTCATTAATGGGCCTCGTGAATGCTCGTAACCATCCATGCCACAACCTACTCAGCAAGCCCCAGGCATTTGCGTGGCTTGGGCCCACTTAAGCTTGTAGAGTGGCTAGGTGTAAAATCAAGGGTTTTTCGCTTGGCATGGCATGTCGATTGGCATGCTCGTGCTCGAATTTCATTGTATTATAAAAGGCTGTGGTCGACTCAAAACGATGCTTGGCGGGATAATTAGCATGGGTTCATAAAGCTGGTGCATTTTATAGGCTTGCTACAACTCTTAACCTGACAGGTTACATATTTGCTTGGCGTGGCATGTGGATTATGACTCAGGCGAGCGTGTATAACGAATTTTCACTTGCCTAAATTGGGTTTCTTATCGGTAAGGTATCACATTGGGCCGGGAATATATTTGGGCCTAGTCATGGATTTTTT